ACACGAGACAAGTATATGTGTCTCATCCTCTACTGGGGGACGAGGCACACTATGACCACCTACATCACGTACCGAAACTAAGAGATCATTACGATGCGAGCAGAAAGCACATGATCTATATTCACGCGGACAGTCGATCAATCGGCCATCCATGAGAGCAGAGGGATGACAACCGGTACGAAAGAGAAAAAGCACACGTCGCTGGTGTGCAGGGAGTGCTACATATGGCGGAAAGGCTGGCAACGGCTGAATAAGCCGATGCAGCCAATCTTGTCCATGCTGAAGCACTTCCATGTACATGTGCGATGGCACGTATGGTGCCATACACACCAGCGAGTCAAGATCACACCGGCACTCACGCAAAGGAGGAGCAAAGGAACGATGCAAACGTGGGAATGGCACGGGAAAGGAATGATTAAAGAGGTTTTAGGCCTCACCATAAGTATATATACCCCCCATGAGTGGTGCTCTGCCTGAGACACTGGTCTGACCATGTGCATAAGAACGCCATGGAAGCAAAGACACTGCCTGAGCCGTTAGAGAGATAGGCGGGGGGGGAAAGGGAGTAGCAGGCAAGCTAGGGATGCGAGCATGAGCCCAACGTTTTAGCCGTGGTGTTTGTGATGCTGTCTTGAGCTTGCTATTCCTCGTCGTTTGACGGCCATCACATCGCGTGGCTTCGGAGACACGTGTGGCTCAGCGTCTGCACAAGTTTCCACACCGCTCTGTTTCCATCATGCATATGCCTCTACTTCCCCTCTGTTCACCGCCGAACTATGTGAAAGGCGATAGAGAGAGATGAAAGGCGGAGGAACTGTCCAACCATGTCCAACCAGGGCACAAACGATGGCGTTCACCTGTCGCGCCAGTTTGTCACTCTCGTACTTGTGCACAATCTGTCTTTTTCCACACAGAAGGATGCGGCAAGACACAGCTTTCGCTTTTGTGCACATACACTTCGCATTCACATGATCCAAGTCGCTGTCAGAGTAAACAAGCTCCTACGGATTCCTTGGCAGCCGCACCGCCAACAATGGCGCGGCGCTCTCTGTGCCCACTACATACCTGGACGGCTCAAGAGCCCGGGGGGACGGCAGAAAACCAGAAAACCAGAGACTACCAGAGCCACTCCAGCCGACCTTACTAATCCCACGAGTACCGCAAATTGGCGGGTTTCTGTCGCACCGGTGAGATATTTCATTCATTCAAGACTTCAGATGAAAAAGGCCTGTACGAGTATCTTTCACACCCGGTATCTTTCACATAGCGCGGGGCAACCCGGTATCTTTCACATAGCGCGGGGCAACCCGGTATCTTTCACATAGCGCGGGGCAACCCGGTATCTTTCACATAGCGCGGGGCAACCCGTCTGAGACGGGCCCCAAAGACAGGTGACAGACTAGGCAAACTGACTAGTGGATGGATGGATGGATGGTTTGGCTTGATGTGGGTATGTGCGTGAGCGTGGCTGCATGACTTACTCGAGGACAGGGAAGCAGGCACACGACTGACTGACCACACCACACACACACAGAGGTGCGGGCAGGTGCGGGCATGTACATGCATGCTGATGGCTGTGACTGTGCTACACACGGCTGCACGCCCGACGGCTGTTTTAGGTGAAAATAGCGAGTAAGGAATAGTGATTGACCGCAAGTCAGACAGAGGCAACTGAGCGAACGGGGAAGACAGTTTTCGTGGGCTACACCCCAGTGCTTTCTGCGGATAGCCACTTACGTGACACAGACGAGGTGGACACGTACTTGACCAAGCAATCATATGAGAGTCAACCCTCATGCGTAACCCAACCCTCTGCACAAAATAAAGGGGGGGAGGGAGGGAGGGAGGGAGGGAGGAAGGGTAGAGAGACAGACGAGACGGGGACCACACACATATCACCACACACACACACACACACAAGACAGGGGGGGGGAGGAAGGAGGGGAGACAGACAGAGATGAACACTTACCTGTACACACACAACACGAACACGAAGCGCCAGACAGACGCGTACACGCACCCCCACAACATATACTTGGCACACCACCTCCCCTCGCCCGGGGGAAGTATACAAGCAGGGCAGCCCCGCGCCATCGGGGTGAAAACGGACTGGCATTTTTTATCCGAAAGCCAGGGGAAACCTTGGTGAGCCGGACTCGCCGCCCTGGTCTCTGCCTCGTTTTTTGCAGGGCTGCTAGACCATTTCCATGGATGCATCATGCGTGTGTTCATAGGAAACGCTTGATGAATGAATGAATGAAATCTCCGTCTGGCCGATCGCCTCTCATTACTCGGGGGCCCCTCCCCCCTCGTAACAGTTCGTCGACACGCAGTCGCGTGGGGTCCCATCGAGTCCCAACGTATGGACACAGCGACCATCTTCGCATTAAGCGCCAACACACAGCTCTTTTTGAGACTGTGTAATCTCATCCCAGTCAATCAGCCGCTTCCTTGATGATCCGCGCTCTTGCAGGCTGAGAGATATGCTCGATTAGCCTTGTGTATGGCAAGGGACGGGAGGAGGTCTGGAGCATTCCTTCTATGCCAGCCTCTGAAGGGAGGCATCCCTTCCTATTCAAGCAGAGCAGATTAGATCGATTCCATGGTATCACTTAAGGCCCTCTGCAACGTATGTGACACGAGCGAAGCTGCTGTAAGGGTGGCATTTAGTCACTCGAACATCATACAGGTTTTCCCTAATGCCAACACAGCGCATTACTCGCATAGCTTTCTTGGTCAACTACATGGCTTCGTGTGGACCGTAGGTGATCGGCTCATCTCCTTGCCCTTCGCATCGAGAGCCGCAGCTTGGAAGTACTGACACTTTTTGGTTTGCGGAACGTCGATCCAATGTTCAAACTGCTTCTTCTCCACCTCAGCAAACACCTCCGTCAATTCCTCTCCGTCACTATTCCCCATCATTATCCGCCATTTCTTCACCTCCGTTGCGCCATTCCACAAGAAGTGAAGCCGCAGTGTCTTGGTGGGGTTATTGTCGTCCAGAAGGGCTGTGGGTCGCCATTTGGGTATCGCAACCCAGGGACCTTTGCCGGTGCGATACGTGCCAATAAATGACTTCTTCTTCACCATCCAATCCATCCGTATCAGCTCGCGGCCCTGAGGGTCTGTCTCAATGTAAAAGGGATTAAAATTCTCATAATTCTTGTCGTGGCCCAAACAATACACACGGTTGCCGTTTGGCATTTGTCTGTAGCTGCCCATTGCGAAAGCGTAGATGCCTGTGTCGTACTCATTCACCAGCCGGGCTTCAGTCGGACGACCGTCAGAATCGAAGTACAAATCATACTCAAGGCCTCGCGCAGTTCCATTTCCGGTATCAATCCCGTTGTCAAAAATGCTTATCCGGTTGTTGCCCAGACTTCGCACCTACGGATCATGAAACAAGTGTGTGCGATATCGTGTGGCCTCAGATGCCTCTCACGTCATGCTGGCTGTCGAAATGCTCTCGTTTATCGTTGACGATTCTAAACAACGAATGACATGACAACGGCAAACTTTCACTTTCTCCCTTCACTTGAGAAAAAGTCGAGCTTACTTGAAGTTACCGCCCCTGCCGCCGAGACGCCACAGTACCTCACCAGTATCCCTGCACGAGAGAGACATACGAACAATGTCCTGACGATGTCAGCCAATCGCATTGTCATACCTGTCGATCTTTGCAATTTGTGACGTTCTCCTCATCCTGAGGAAATGGAAGGAACAATGACTCAAGCGAGATCAAAAATCACGCTCACGATAGCAGAATGTTCCCATCGTCATCTTCGTCTAGCGCTATCGAATGCAAAAGAGATTCCAGAATTCGAAGATGTGAATGCAAAACACTTCGAGTCGCTCACAATTCTGGTGAAGTAGGTCCCACAAGTTTTCATATTTAATAAACAGTGGAGCCTCCCAAAAACTGAATAGAAGATGGTCCCAAGACCGCCACTCCATCACCACCTCCCCTTTCAGAACGGAGAGAAAGTTGCGATCTCTGAAATATGCCAACCACACCCACACTCAATCATTACCTTCGACACTGATTTCGTGGATGATGACGCCAATAGCGCCCTTTATTTTTTCTCTTGCAAAGGGGGGAACCAGATCTTCCATTCTCAAAAGCTGGATATCCATCCTGGGGAAAAGAGGGTGAGGGCAACAACACTTTCGAGTCAGGGAGTAACACTTCGAGATGTCATTGTCCTTACTCAAAGAGTAATCCAGTTCCCTTCTCGGTTTGCAGAAACTCACGCCAGTTGAACTCTGTCACGAGAGAGATTTACAGGTCTTTTGCGTCTTCTGTTGAGTGACTCACTTATTCCATGCGGGGCGTGGAATCTGTGTCGTAAAGCATAATCTGGGCCAAGAACTTCATAATCCTGAGAAGCTTGGGTCAACGGCCAAGACAATAGGTCCCCGTTCTGCGTAGGTGTGAGGATAGATGCGACGCGGTCCTGACGAACGTAGACTGGATCGCCCGTCGACGTCATGATCATTTGCCAGTCACGGGGTCCGCTTGTGAAGAGGTATCCAGCTGATAAAGCCGTGAGATTGCCTCCAACAGTGATCTTGGCGCGAGGATAGCTCTTCGGAATCGTTTTGTATGCACAACTGGGGGCATAATCTTCGGCTGAAGGCATTTGTTCACCACAACTGACATTCTCCGCGTCGTCTGCCTTCCCTGCTCGCTGGTTGACAGCGGGGATGCCCAGCAGCCAGTTGTTGTCTTGAGCCTTTCTGAAGAGTTCCAGTGTCTCGGGTGAAGAAGGCTCGTCAATGGCATTCTTTTGCGTCGTCGCCCCTTTGTATGTGTCCATCTTGTTCCACGACATGGTAAAGCTCCACGAGAAGGCAAGGGGTCTCCCTTTCTACTCTTGATTCCCTTCCCTACTGTCACTCGAACAGACTCACCAGGTGTGAAAGGGGCGTCTGGCGTGAAATACACAGTTCGGCCGTCGCTCAGAAGCTTCGTGTTTCCCGTGTGGTTGCCGGAGGCGTCGCCTTGCACACTAATCTTGTCCTTGATGCTGCCTTTATCCACCTTGTCCTTCGGCCTGAAGGCAATTGATGTGTACGGCGAGACGAGGACGGCGTTCGGGAGGGGATGAGCATAGACAAAGGGCGTCTCCCTCCTCAGAGCCTCCAGGTGCATAGAGGGCTCGAGGGTGTTCTTCGGGTCGTCTGCGTCTGAGCTTCGGCGGTCCCGCCCTGGGGTCGATGCCAGCGGCTTTGAGAGACCGAAGCAGCTGTTGCGCGTTCCGATCTGCCACCTCTTTGTCACTGATAGCGTGGCAATGTCGCACGCCCCTCTCAAATACAAGAAAGACACACAGCTGAATCAGAATAAGAACACCCGACATGTTTGGGGAACGTACAAAAAACCAAAGACGCTTTCGGAACCATAAAATTCGAAACAGCTTGAACGTTACAGACTCTAGATCAGACGTTCTGGTCGCCCTTGTTTATGTAGATGTCAGAAAAAAGAACGGTTAAACGGTTCTCGTCGACAACTTTAACGAGGAAGGGGTTCGATTCGGAACTGTTCGGAGAGGGAGAAGCAATTTGTTATAGGGGTCAGCGCCCACGACTGACCCCACGACCGATGCGGTAAATATCCAAGGTGTCATTGATCTGCGGTACACATGTATGCATTCAAGAAGAGCAGATAGCAGCAAATATAGATGGGCCCTTACGGCTACAGATATGGCGCCATACGAATAAGAAAACGGGTCCCATATGACACGCATATGCGCAAGTGATTTCTGATTCTCCTCATCTATAATGTGATGCATAAGAGGAGATAGAGACGCCACACGGTTATACAGCAGGAAGCCAGCCAGCCGCCACACCCCCCTCTGGTCGTCGGGGGGTGTGGGGCCGGCTGGCCCTATGCCGGCGCATCTTATGGCATGCTTGCATGGTGCAGAGCGAGGGGGATATTAGGCAGATGGCTGGAGACTCCAGACACCGACAGAACGTCCTGCAATAACAGAGGAGAGAAGGAGACAGAAACATGGTCTGCGTGTCCTTTCTCTGGGCTGAAGACCGTTGCCCGTTAAGGCAACAGATGAGCCAGAGGGACGGTTCACGAGAAGGAGGGACAGTTCGGAGTGCTCAGGGTTCTCAGCATGGACCCCATCTTGTACGGCGATTGATTAGCAGCTGTCAGGCTGTTGTTGCAATAAGCCTCTTGCAGGTTAGTCTTCAAAAACAGGTCCTCCTCGCAGACGAACCGGCCCAGTGTGAGAAATACGTGCGCAGCAGGGAGGTAGGCTTGGCAAAGGGGCTTACCACAGCTGGGAGCGATGGGAGAACGGTGGTGGCGCGATCGCGGCTGGCTGGCGAAATGTCTCGCGGCGAGATAGAGAAGTCCGTTCGCTGGGCGAGGCTGTGGCCGCGGGTCCGCGGCGAGTTGCTGACTCTCTGTCGGCTCGCCCCTCTCTTCATCGCCAGTGTTCGAGCACCGATGGCGCCCATTGATGGCCTTCGCCGCATCGGGCGATCGGTTCGGGGTGACATACGCCGCTGTTTCCGTTGACGCTGTGCGTGCGGCCCCTGCTCTCCCCCATCCCCTTCCCGCTCAGCCCCCTCGACGCTTCTATCGCCCAAGATGGCGGGATGACGGCCGCACCACAGACGCCACACACACATCGGCCGGATGACACCGTGCCGATGGGTCGGACCCTCTGGCGCAGCCTGCCGTGGAAGGTGGCTGCACGCGGTCGCTGGCGTTCCTCTGACCACATCACCCATCTCGAGGCGCGAGCAGCTGGGTGTGGTTCGTCTGGGTGGCCGTCCCTCGCGTCTCTTCATCCTCCCCTTGCCGAGCCAGGGGGGATGGGTGTACATGGCCGGGGGATGAGGGGGCGGGAGGGTGAGGGGGCGTATATGTGTGACTTGCGTGAGCTGCCATGAGAATGGCGGGGCCGCTGCCTCCACTTGACCGGACGGGGGGGCACGGTTGCTGACACGCGCGTGTCTTCGTCAATGCCGTCCTTCCTTACTGATGCGGCTGTGAAGCCTGCCACTCTACGCGTGTATCGCTCGGCGGTGGACGGCTTCTACTGCTGGTGTGAGGCTCTTCCTGCGGATGTTCCGATCGATGACGCCCTCGTTGACTATTTTCAAGACCTGTATGAGGAATTCCTGATACACAGGCGTAGGCAGCAGGCGGTGAACACGCTTAGTTGGCTTGCCCATTTCTTCCCGGGTCTCAGAGGGCGACTGACGGGGTGGGCCCGCCTGCGGCCGTCGTTCAGCTCTCCCCCCATCCCGTGGCCCATCGCCGTCGGGCTGGCTGTCCAACTCGTGCGTCGGGGGGAGGTGCGGGGGGCTCTGACCCAGCACTGCCTGCTTAGGACCCAGCACTGCCTGCTTAGGAAGATGGAGGTCGCGGCAGTGACGCGTGAGCACATGGTCGTCAGCCAGTGTGCCTTCACCCGCCAGCGGGATGCACGTGGCGCTGCCCGCAACTAAGAGTGTGTCGGTTGCGTGCAGCGATCTCGTGCAATCGCTATCTCATGTGGCGCCTGGGGCGTCTCTTTTTCCTCCATACGATATGTGGACGGCGGCGGCGGATCTGGGTGTGGCTGAAATGGGTTATACGTATCACTCGCTGAGGCATGGGGGTGGAGAACAGGGAGGCTTACTTTTTCGTGGTCAATGATATTACTTCTGCACGGAGGTACCTACAGAAGGCGGTGGCACTGCTGGGTGAGCGGGCCATCCCGCAGGCCATTTTGACTAAGTGCGATCGTCTTGCTGGCTCTCTCTCAACCTCTTTGCCCTTGACACTCATTTTGTGTGGCAAGTGAGCTCTCCTCTGGAGGGGGTGGGATGGTCATGTGCCTCCCTGCACCGATGCCTTGGTGCAGAGAGGCATGCGACCTCCCTCAGGGGCGGGTATATTTGTGGTGTATCATGGTGCTCTGCGTATGTGGCATGGCGGTAGTATTCATGGGTATTGAATGGGGTTTGCATGGGATGGCACCACACACAGCATACGTTGTACAGCATAACGACGAACGGGGACTTTCTCTCAAGTGAGAAGGACTTCAGCGTGCGCTTTTGTGGTCGCTCCGCTGCTGTTTAGAGGTCTCACATGAGTGTCATGATAATGCGTTTGCAACGGGATGTGGTCGTGGCGGCTGGATGAGGCAAGAACGAACGAATCACTTCGCCATTCTGCAATGACACGGCGTCAGTTGAGTCACACGAGTGCTAATGAATCAATGATGGATCTTTGTCATTCAATTCATTCAGTGAATCACTGCGTCAATGCAGACGACCTTCCTGGGTTGCTTTGCGTGAAAGCTGGCAGTGATCCTGGCCTGGCTGGCCACGAGATGGCGGGCCACATGCGTGTCTCACATCACCCATATATGGTCACTATATATATATATAGCCGACCACTCTGCTCTTCCCCATCGGCTACACCGCGGGGTGTAGCCGCATGCTGGGGTCGTGAAACCGAGATTACAGCCTCCGACTCGGGCGCACCTCGTCGTCGGCCACATCTATCACAACCCCGCGGTGAGGGGACAAGGAGAAACGCGTGAGGAAGACAGCTTCAATGGGTCAATGAGATCACGGGCAGGAGAGAGCATGCCCAGTCGCGAACGGGCACAACTTGCAGTTGGACAGCCGTTTGTTCAAAATCGCCAAACCCCCGAACAAAAAAAGGGGGGGAGAAACTGTAAAAGCGGAAAGAAAAAAGAGAGCGAGTTTCTTCTTTTGAATCCTCCTGACCCCCCAGAGATCCGGAGGAGGAGCCTTCAAGCCAGATGATGCTGGGGCTCTGTCCCGGCACTCGGAGGAGGACACATCCTTCGCGCCTACGAGGTAAGCGCCTGACGGAGAGCATGTCATGGCGTATATCAACCCGTAGAAGACACTCGGCACAGTACAAACATTATAGGCGGGATTTTACGAGTCGCGAGGGTCCAGTCGAGATCCCGAGACATCTACGTATCGTAGATCAGCAAAACTATGCAAACACGCGAACGCGGATGAAATCCCATTTTAGTCAACATGACCCTTGGAGCACAAATCGACAACCCTTTTGACACCGTCCTTGTCGGTGAGGTCCACATGTAACCCGGCCGTGCTTGCATGCTGCTCTTCGGCAGTTTTCTCGTCGCTTTCACTTGTCCCCGAAAGCTGTCTCTCCGCCTTCGCCGCATTCTCCCACGATTCGCCTATATGTCCAAGTCTCAAGAGAAGGTGGATTAGAAACTGCCGGATCCCTTCGGGTGAGAGGCAGTTCCATGCAAAAGTGTGCGCTGCCCATGCGGCCTTCTTCGCCACCTCATCGTGCTCCTGAAACCACCGAACTTTTTCCACTAGCTCATTCCCCTCAGAGAAGGGAATAAGAACACCATATCGCTTAAGGGGACCGTCAAAAAACTGCGTGTTCTCGAAAGCGCGACGCTGCTGAAATACAAGTCCCCCATTTAGCAGCAGATGCCGCAACCTGATGCTCCAAGGACCTAATCCTGATGTGACAGCCAAAGCGGTGATCGTTGTAATATGGACTGCACTAGCTTACCCGGGAAGTCCAGTACATACTTGTGGCGAAACAACAGATCCTGCCACTCCTCTGGGCCGGTAGATTCTTGACGACAAATATGCGATGCAGAACAGCCGCGGGATCTGTGGAGGGAAGGTGGAACGTGCAGACAAGAAAGCACTGGTTACCCTCCCCCCGGGGACGCTTACTTCTGTAATTTCATGGCGTCGCTGGTACAGTTGTTCCTTTGTCGAATAGGATTGCCAGCATCCGTAAGGTAGAAGCTCTCGGACAGCTCTGCGTCGATGGCGTTGACCTCACATGCCACAATGAGCCTCGCAGCATCACTTTTGCGCCCGACAAAGAAGAAGCCACTGCGTTTCTTTCTCCACTGTCTCTCGAATCGATTTGCTGAGAACTGTCCATTCTCGTCGTAGAACATCTTGCTCAGATGCTTCCGGACTCTATTTTCTTCCTTGTCGTTGTGACTGTTGTATGGTACTACAGGAACTGGATCAGACAAGGCAGATAAAAGGCCTGTCTGTGCCTCAGACGATCGCTTACCGTCCCAGTTCCACTGAGGGGAAGCCGCATCTGAAAAGAGGAGAGCGGGAGGCGCCGATTCGTTGAAGAAGTGCGCAGTCCCATAGGCACACCGCTCTTCCTTCACGTTCACATTGTCAACATTCTTCCACAGGACCTGATGAAGAGGACCAGGTGAATTGAGCCACTAAGTGGATCCTGTAGCTTACGGGGCAATCGCTCATATGGGCGGTGAAGTGGATCCCATTCAGCTTCAGCTTAAGCTCATCTCTCACATAGCCGACTGCCTCACTCAGGCGGTTCAAATAAACCCTCACCATGGTCGTTTTGATGGAAGCAACTTTCAGCTCCTCCGATACTACATCACGGGATGGCGGGTGGCAGAAGAGACGTCCATCATCGACACTCAAACGCACTAATGTATCTTTGTGGATTGGAAGTCGCAGCGCCCGGTCGGCCAGCATCGATAGAGAAACGTGAGATCCAGACATGTTGTTGAGGGCTTGCAGTGTCGGGTCTTTTTGCAGGACCATTTCTTCCCAGTAGGGCTCACAATGGTTCCTCAACAGGTCATCGTCGTTCAGCCGCCCCACAAAAGCGTCCAGTACTGTGAGGTCGATTGGTGCCCCATTAAGTGAACCCCCCGCATTCTCCTCGCCAGGAATGCTGCTTTGATCAGGCGAAGTGTGTGGGTCGTCGGCTTCTGCATATTTGCACTCTTTCGGACAACCCTTTTCGCCATCAACATTTAAGACTGAAAAAAGGCTCGAGGGCTGAAGGCATTGCCTGGAAAAATTCCGAAGGACGACGACGGAGATGAGACACCCTACCACGATGGCGGGGGCCGAGCGGTGACAATCTCTTGCTGGCATCAAATTGGACGTTACGCGTGAAACGCTTCAATACAAGGGGAATTTGACGGTTGCTGGGCATTTGTGTTGCAAGCTAGCAACCAAGGGCCGCTGCCAGCAACCGCCCTTCACTGGAAACAACAAGCACTGGGTGCCAGCAACCAAGATCTGTTACCAGCAACCGTCCTTTGTGGCCAGCAACCACCCTTTGGTACCAGCAACCGAGACTGGCGATGAGCACCAAGGCCCGTTGCCAGCAACCGTGCCTTGTAGCCAGCAACCGTGGCTCAGAGAGGCATGACGAATGCACACATGCAATGATCGATGTGAATGACTCTCTTCCTTGACTTTGCAGACAAAGACAGGCCTCAGCAAATGGCCTTTGGTACGTGTTGTTTTGCATTCTCCCTCGCATTCACGGCGGACGAGGTTGCCTTCTACCAAATCCGCCTTGGTACGTCAGTGGATGAACGATAGGAAGTGGGATGGTCCTGATTGGCGGTGCTCTGTGTTGCCCAGATCGGTCGCCGGTTCAGCTGGTACGGTATCTACAGGTGGAGCATTTCTCGCGTGTGGGGATGGACGGCATCTCATTCCTCTACGGCCTGACACCATCGAGGGATGGTAGAGGAATGAGATGGTGGCGCTCAAGGAGATGGCCATGGCGGTTCTGGAGGTCCGTCTGGACCTCAATCTGCCCATCACTCCTCAAGCTGCCGATTGCAGGAGTCGCGTCTGGCAGCGGCGGGAGAGGAAGGAAGGAAGGGGGGGGGATGCGAGAGTGAGTGTGTCTGCTGTTGCTGTGTCTGCTGCTGCTGGATGGATGAATGGATGGATGGATGGGTGGGTGGGTGGGGCAATGAAGGCAGGTGGTGTGTGTGTGTTTGGTGTGATGATTTTGGAGAAATGCGTCCATGATGTTCATGCAGACCTTGCAAAGTCATGAAGAAGAGTCATTCACATCGATGGGCCTCGCCGCGAACGCGGGTCGACGAACGGTTACTAGGGGGAAGGGGCCCCCGAGTAATGGGAGGCGATCGGCAAAGGGACAGCATACAAAACTACCAGGATCGAAAGGGTACACACTAATCGAGGAGAAACGCATGCGTTTCTCTGCTTTTCACTTTTTTTTCACACACGGCATCTTCTGTTTGTCTCAATCTTCCCCCTCCCCCCCATCATGTATCGTAAGCGCATGTCTGCAAAAAAAGAAAAAAGAAAAAAAAGACTGCCACTTGGGACGTGCGCGACACCAAAATAAAAAAAGGCAGGTACAGGGCGTGGCAGGTAGGAAAAGGCGAGTGGAAGGGAGGCGTGAAGAGAAGCACGACGGGAGACAGACTGGGATAGACGGCCAAGAAAGACACAATATGAATGCTACACCACCGGTATCCCACCGCTACTGGTGCGACACAAGCAAGGGCGAGGAGCGGCGGACCGGCTCCAACAGACCTTTAGCAGTAGTCAGACATCTCTCGCACTTCTATCCTTCTGACCCATATCCAGCTGACCCGCTCAACATGCCCTGTACGCTGTATAGACACTCACTGCATTCCCATCAGTCGGCGTATTAACAATAAAACACGCAAGGACACACACAAGCATGGGCACGACAAAAGCTTTGTGTTCAGATGCTATGGATGCACGGATCAATGGCGCACACACATGAATGCGGGGAGACCCGCATACCAGGCACACATGTGAGAGCATATGTGTATAAGCTGGAATACTGCGTCGCGGCCAACGGCACGGTGAGAGAGGGCGGCAATGCGGCCAAACGAAACATCAACACACCTGCCAGGCAGACACAGGAGCACTCAGACGAGTAGATCTGTGTGCCGGAGTCCTACATGACAGCCATCATTGCCTTCAATCGGTCTGTAGTCGACGCGCTCTATTCTGCCTGTGACTACTGACTCATGGAAGCTGACCTTTTGCAGCCCCCTCCCCCTTGAAGGGGGCGACATTGCGTCGTCCGCATCACCACCTCCCTTCGCTGTCTGCGCCCTGTCTTCAGTCACACACAAGTGCACCCGACATTCGGTTTCTGGGCCAGCCTCGCCGTTCACAAGCAAGCACCTCTTCCTTCAGCTTCCCCAGATCTTCAAGAATCGCCGCAAAATGCTTCGGACAGTGCCCAACTGCCTTTTGTCTACCCTAAGGCTCGGCTACTCGCCGCTGGCGATCACTGGTTTAGTGTCTGGTGTTCGTTCGTTCGTTCGTTAACCTCACGGGGACCTTGCCCCCCGGCCCCCCGAAGGGGTACGCAAGAAAGGGTCTGTGTGAGTCCATAGAAAATCACAAGTCAGGAGAAGGAAGCACCGGATGCAACGCAACCCACCGCTTGCGCGAGGCCTTCGCAGAAAGTAGAAAAGTGGCTACCGCTTCATGCACATGCACTGAGCGAGAGGTGAGCAGTGAGGAGGGGAAACCTTGGTGAGCCGGACTCGCCGCCCTGGTCTCTGCCTCGTTTTTTGCAGGGCTGCTGGACCATTTCCATGGATGCATCATGCGTGTGTTCATAGGAAACGCTTGATGAATGAATGAATGAATGAAATCTCCGTCTGGCCGATCGCCTCTCATTACTCGGGGGCCCCTCCCCCCTCGTAACAGTTCGTCGACACGCATTCGCGTGGGGTCCCATCGAGTCCCAACGTATGGACACAGCGACCACCTTCGCATTAAGCGCCAACACACAGCTCTTTTTGAGACTGTGTAATCTCATCCCAGTCAATCAGCCGCTTCCTTGATGATCCGCGCTCTTGCAGGCTGAGAGATATGCTCGATTGGCCTTGTGTATGGCAAGGGACGGGAGGAGGTCTGGAGCATTCCTTGTATGCCAGCCTCTGAAGGGAGGCATCCCTTCCTATTCAAGCAGAGCAGATTAGATCGATTCCATGGTATCACTTAAGGCCCTCTGCAACGTATTTGACACGAGCGAAGCTGCTGTAAGGGTGGCATTTAGTCACTCGAACATCATACAGGTTTTCCCTAATGCCAACACAACGCATTACTCACACACACGAATACATATATACAATCGAGGCCGCACGTACACAAGTGACCGACAGCAGAACGGGACCATTCTGCGTTTTCAGTTGTCCGTGCAGCCCAGCCCCACTGATGGCGGAGAGGCGACAGAGGCTTCCTAGCTCGCAGACGATCATGACAATGGAAAGCCTCAAGAAGTGAAGGGGGCGTCCCCAGCCCGAGGTGAAAGAGCCTTCCACGACAGCCACCGCCCCTCCAGAAGAACATGTTATGTGATGACCTTGTGTCTCTGAGTGGCAAGTCGACTTGAGACTGATGGACGATGGGACAATGAACTTTGACTGCGACTGCATCCATGTATGCACGCACGGTTCTTGTCTTCCGTTCAAACGTCCTCAGACAGGCAACCTCTTCCTTTTCCACTTTCCCTGCACACGAACACACATGTGTGTGAGGTGGTGTGGGATCTGGCTGGGTGGTGTGGTGAAGGTGCGACCTTCGTGTGGGGTAGATGGCAGTGGCGCTGCCGGCGCGCTCGCAGCTGCTGCCGCAGATCCAGAGGCCTCCGAACCATATCATCCGCAGACCTACTCGCTACATGAGCAACACCACCTGGCAGTGTGCACAAGATGGAAAGGTGCACCGCACGGGTGATGGCTGAGCTGCGCACGTGCTCCCTTACCGTCCTGTGGTGTGTCTGGCCCACTTGGAGATCCCGACGGCTCCCCGAAGCCAACAGTCGAAGAACCTGAGTGCGCACACACAAAGAGAGCAGGAAAACGGTGCGGGACATGTCAGTGCGCCATCCCCGATGCAAGCATCCATGCCAGAAGGCGAATGCAAACGAGATCTATCTGATCTGACGGCGCAGCCGTGCGCAGTGGGCAGATCTCCATCTTTTTGTGCATGGATGCGGACAGTGAGTGGTCGGTCACCATCCCCGCGATGCATACCTATGCGCTGCGGTGGTTGCACTGCTGCCTCCACTTTTGTTATCCTTGGGCTTCTTGTCGCCCATGCACAGGCTGGAGGGGCGAGGCTGTGTCGGTAGCTGAGGATACGTATCAGTAGGCTAGAATTCAGTCAGCTGAAGATGTATAATAGCTCGGCTGGGTAGGATCTGTCGTAAGATAGGCGTCAGAGCGAGCTCTGACGAAGCCTGGCCGCAGAGCGTCTCGCCCGGCCAAGTTTCGCCCCCCCGCCGCCCATTTGCGCATGGCTGGCATTGCATGCGTCCAGATCGCTTCTTTTGTCTCATTGTCTCATCTTGCATCGTCTTCGTGGTTTTGGAGTGCTTTTGACGTTTTCATCGTTGGTGAAAGACCATCTCCCTTCGATTTAACGTTACCGTTCGGCATTGACGTTTTCCGCTTTCCCCCCACATGGCTTCGAGCCTGCCACTCTGAGCCCTGCCGGGCAACAAGACGTCCACCCATTGCCGCAGGTAAGTTGCACGAGAGCACCGCATGAAGGCAGGCGGGCAAGGTCTCTCGGCACGCATCCCGCGAAGGACTGGGGCTCTGTGTACTACGCCGGTGAAGGGTCGCTACTGCAGGGCGCCTGTGACAGTCTTGGGGTACACATCCGCGCAGTGAAGGGGGCTCTCCCTGTCGAGATGGCTGAGTCCGCCGGGGTAGTTCCCCAGCTGGATTGCCCTGCTCGTCGTGCATCGCACCTTGGGCTCCCATCCATCCTCCCAGACCCAAGATCTATGTGTTTTCTGTCGATCATCTTCGTGTCTCCCCCTTCCTTGATGCAACCGACTCATGTGAGGCATGATTCTTCCCCCGTCGGCCCTGCTCTGCACCCTTCTCGGTGCTGCATGCAGGGAGACACAACTTCACCCAGCTGTGATGTGGGGATTCATGTGTTCCTGGCTGCATTCAGAGCTGCAGGGCTTCGCCCAGCGCCTGTCTGCAGTTCGGCAGGTGACCTGCCCATCTGATGATGCCTCTCATGGTCGATTGCGGGGATATGTTCGTACAAAAGCGGGGCTGGATGGACACGACTGACTGACCGATCAACTCCGCCCTCGCTGGCGAGTTGTGTCCTGTCCATCCACCCTGGTGCATGTTCCATGCTTGATGGACGATGGATGAGCCTGGGTGCATATGTGTGTGGACATTGGATGGTGCGGCCCGCTCACGATGGCGTTGAGCGCCCATCACGAGCGTTTCATATTCGCTGCAAATCTCGAGGCACACACGGCACACATTGACGGATGATCCCATGACACCACTAGACATGGCTGTATTGTTGCTGCCTGCCCCTTTGGCGCACACACACGGGTCCCCCATCCAGAGGTCTGAGGTCTTGGGTCTGTCTGACTCCCTCTGCGAGGACGCGCTGGCCGGCTTGACGGGATCACAGGCCCCCAGACGCCCCCTCCTCACAAACACAAGAGCTGCACAGACGGACGGAGAGAAGGCATGCGCGCCGAAGAGGACGGCACACCCCTGCGATATCCGTAAGCCCACAAACACGCTTGCATGAGCCCACAAACACGCTTGCATGCATACGGGGCAACCCGGCTCTCTCATATAGCGCGGGGCAACCCGGTATCTTTCACATAGCGCGGGGCAACCCGGTATCTTTCACATAGCGCGGGGCAACCCGGTATCTTTCACACAGCGCGGGGCAACCCGTCTGAGACGGGCCCCAAAGACAGGTGACAGACTAGGCAAACTGACTGATGGATGGATGGATGGTTTGGCTTGATGTGGGTATGTGCATGAGCGTAGCTGCACGACTGACTCGAGGGCAGGGAGGTGGGTATTGCCAGGGACAGAGCAGCCGCATAGCCGCAAGCAGACAGACAGACAGACAAACTGACTGATGGATGG